TGACTTATGTGAATTATATAAATAAAGCCGTTTAAAAATAAACAGGGAAAGACTTGGCGTGGTGGCTTACTCATGTAATCCTAGCATTCTGAAAGTCTAAGGTGGATGAATTGCTTGAGCTCAGGAGTTTGAGACCAGTCTGAGCAAGAGTGAGACCCCATGTCTACTAAAAATAGAAAAACTAAGAACTGAGGCAGGAGGATCTCTTGAGCCCAAGAGTTTGAGGTTGCTGTGAGCTATGATGCCATGGCACTCTACTCAGGACAATGGAGGGAGACTCTGCCTCAAAAAACAAAATGAAACAAAACAGGGAAGTGTTTTTTAAGTTAAAACAAACAAACAAAAAAATAAGGTAAGCAAAACAATAAAAAGTATAAAAGAGAGAAGTCAAAAATTTCTAACAAGGTTTACCCTTAAAATGCTAACAACTAGAGCAAATATTTTACTCAACAATGAAATGTGGTAAAATTTCTGAGAACAGAAGTAAGATAAGGATAGCCACTAACATTATTTATCTTCATTATTTTCCCGGTGTTCCTAGCTGGAGAAATAAAGCAAAAAATTGAAATAAACAGGATAAGAAGTGGAACAAAGATATAAGCATATATCATATATAACATATATAAAACTACAATTACCTATGTTGAAAATTCTAAAGACTCTAGAGATAAATTATTAGAATTACTGAGTTTACCATGAACTCATGAACTCAATAAATAGGGCAAAATTGGAGAAACGACTTTATTTCTGTATGACACCAAGAGTTATAAGACATTTAAAAACACCATTTATAATACTATAAAAGATAAAATTTAGCAACAAATTTAACGAAAGATGTGTAAGACTTCTACACATAACTTGATAAATACCATTCAGAGAAATTAGGAAATTGTTAAGTGAGTGGAAGTATATACCATGCTGACAAATTAGATATCTCAGTATTTCAAAAATGTCAGTTATCCTCTGAAATGGCATATAAACTCAAGGCAATCCCAATCAAAATCACAATTAGCTTCTTTTCGGGTTGGGGGAGACTGATAGGGACTTAGCAAGCTGATTCCGAAATTTACATGGAAATGCAAGTACACAAATAGCTAAGACATTTTTGAAGAACAAGAATCAGCAGAGGACTTATTTAATCAAGTATTGACTTATAAATTACCAATTAAGACATGGTGGGATTGGGCCAGGTGATGTGGCTCACGCCTGTAATCTTAGCACTCTGGGAGGCCAAGGGAAGTGGATTGCCTGAGCTCACAAGTTCGAGATAAGCCTGAGCCAGAGCGAAACCTCATCTCTAAAAATAGCCGGGTGTTGTGGTGGGTGCCTGTAGTTTCAGCTACTTACTTGGGAGGCTGAGGCAAGTGAACTGCTTGAGCCCAAGAGTTTGAGGTTGCTGTGAGCTATGATTCCATGGCCCTCTACCAAGAGTGACATAGTGTGACTGTCTCAAAAGAAAAAAAAAAGACATGGTGAGATTAGTATAAAGATAGGCAAGTTGACCAATAGAACAGAAGGAGACCAGAAACAGAGCCAAATGCATGTGGAGATTTGATTTACTACCTGGATGGTGGCAGCAGAATAGTCAGGGAAGGATAGTATTTTCATAAATGAAGTTTAGACAATTGGATATCTTTATGGAAAGAAAGAAACTTGAATCCTATATCATAATTTATATAAACATTGATATAAGATACTAGATCTAATTGTGCAAGGCAAATTAATAAAGCTTCTAGAAAATAGTATAGGAGAATATCTTCATGATTTCAAGATATGGAAAAACTTCACAAATAAGACATTAAAAACTTTTGTTCATCAAAAGAAAGCTATAATATGGGAGTGGTTTATCAAAAAATATATTCATATTAATAATTTAAAGAAATAGCATGGGAAAAAACATTTCCAATACGTGTAATTGAAAAAGAGTTTTGCAGATCAGGGATGATGGCTCATGCCTATAAACCTAACATTCTGGGAGGCTGAGACAAGTGGATGGCTTGAGCTCAGGATCTTTAGACTAATCTGAGCAAGAGTGAAACCCTGTCTCTAAAAAATTAGCCAGGCAATGTGGCAGGTGCCTGTAGTCCCAGTAACTTGGGAGGCTGAGACAAGAGGATCACTTGAGCCTAGGAGTTTGAGGTTGCTGTGAGTTATGATGGTACAGCACTCCACAGGGGAACAGAGTGAGACTCTGCCTAAAAGAAAAAAAAAAAAGAGTTTTTACAAATCAATTAGAAAACTACAAATAAGCCAATAAAGAAAAAAGGATAGCAAGATTCCTGAACAAGCATTTCACAAGGAAGAAGCCCAAATGACCAATTAACATAAAAAGTTGTTGAATTTCACTAGTCATCAGAGGAACGCAAATTAAATCCACAGTGAAATGCCCGTGTGTACTAAGGAGAATGGGTAGAACTTAAAAGATTGACTGAAGACCAAAGTTGACAAGGGCAGAGATTAACAGGAACTTTCATACACTCACCTGCTGTTGAGAATGTAAACTGGTGCATCTACTTTGGAGAACAGTGTAGCTTTATCTGTTAAATATGAAGATACGCAAACCCCATGACCCACCAGCTCCACTCTAATGTTACACTCTCCTCCCAAATCTGCATATTTGCACCAAGATACATATGCAAGATTGTTCACAAGCAACATTACTTGTAGTAGCCCCAGATGAGAAACAAGCTCAAAGATCAGTAATGTAGGACGGATAAACAGCAAGACGTCGTGCATTATTACACAGCAGTAAAGGGGAATGAACTAGGCCACAGGAAGAGAAGAACGACTCTCAAAACACAATGTGAAGGGAGCCAGACGTAAAAGCACACTTCCTTTTTGATTCCTTATATAACTGTCTATACATGCGGTTATATGGTGTTTAAAACTGCCTGGTTAGCTGGTAAAAGCAAAGAGGTGAGTGCCATAGGAATCAGGTCGTTGGCTTTTTTTTGGCGGAGAGAGAAGAGGTAGTGTTTGCTAGGGGGCCAAGGGAAGAGATTCTGGGAAGGCTGGTACGCCAGTTGTCAAGTTGTGGCCTCCCAGTTCCAAATCTGTCTTTTCTACCTGTTCCGCGGTTATATCCAGAATCCCCTAAGCGGCTCTCCTTCCCGGCAAGCGCAATGCAAGACAGCAGAGGGCGCTGGAGACACGCTGCGGGCGACCGGCGCTTCTGGGCGGGAGCGGGTCCCAGGGCCACCTCGAGGTCTGGCCTGAGCTGTCAGTCACATCCCCACGATCCTCCTAACCGGGAAGCCACGGTCTTCGGACTCTGTCCCCACAGGGTCCCCGCTCCTTCCGCTCACCGCCCCTGGCAGTTTGTTAATCAGCGGACCCATGCAAGATGTGACAGATTATAAAAAACAAAGGGTCAACAGGGATCATAGCCGATTATTTGCCAGATTTTACTTCATCAATGGAGAAGAACAGATAATTTACTCAGAAAGAATCAAGGGAGGAAGGGAGAGAGGTAAGGAGGGAATGAGGGAAGAAGGGAGGGGAGGGAGGAAGTAGAGGAAGGAAGGGGAAGTGTTGAGAATGCACAGCCCCCCCCCCCCCAGCAACTAAAGATGCACAGACAGAAGGTTGTAAGGGGCTTGGAGCCCCGAGACGCACCATCTCCTGCTCGATCCTCACTTTCTCTTTTCTACCTGTGAGGAAGTTTTCTCCTGGGCTTCTGTGTAAAGACCCACTACAGTTTTCAAGGACACATTCTTTTCTCCGCTCTTGGGCAGTGATTCCTCTTTGACAAACATACTTCTGGAAATAATGGTAAAAGCATATGTATCTGTGTAGGGGGTGATTTGGACAAATAATTATGTACTAAATATTAGGACAAGCATAGTAGGCAGATGTCACAATCTATCTTCATAATGGCATACAATTCAATTAAGAAATATAGCCATTATGTAGAAAGAGCCAGGCTTATGGAATGTAATCAGCTAATCGCTTTATTTTTTCCTAGTTACCCATTCAAACCTGCTCTGCAGGTGGCCTCTCTCTGCCCCTTGGGTAAAATCCAGGGGATGTTTCATGACTTTTAAAAAATTATTCTTAGCACAAAATGTCTCCTGTAATTTCTAGTTACAAATCCAGGCTCTGTTCAGCATTTAAGATGTCTGATCTCATGGAGTGAAGTTCCAAATTCATTGTAAGTGTAGGTTTCCTCTTCACGCCTCTCCTCCCCCTGGCTCTTATCTGGCTCTGGCTCTGACAGGCGATGGGTGTGTAGCATAGTTGCCTATTGCTCCATTTTGTACTTTCACTCCTCATTCCCCAGCTGCTCAGGGATTTCTTTCTTTCTTTCTTTCTTTCTTTCTTT